ACGGTCATGGTTATTCCCTATTTCTCCATCCCTGGCAACCACTAGCCCACTTCATGACTCTATAGATTTGCCGATTCTGGACGTTTCATATACATTCAGTCCTGTAATAAGTGGCCTTTTGTGACTGGCTTCTTTCACTTAGCATAATGTTTTCAAGGCTCGTTTGTGTTGTAGCATATATCAGTACTTGATTCCTTTTTATTGACAAATAAGATTCCATTGGTATGGGGGCTATTCCACATTTTGCTTATCCATTTATCAGTTGGTGAACATTTGGGTTGTTTCCACCTCCTGGGCTATTCAGTATAGACTTTTGAGTGAGTGGTTGTGTTAATTCTAATATGAAACCTACCTTTCTGTTTTAGGAGTATTAAAATATCCTTTCATAAACTGACAGTAGGGGTAAATATATTTCTTAATGTCCTTACCTGGCAAGATAAAACACTGAGTCTTTCTGTTGACTTTAATGGTACAAGGGTATGAAAGGCCAAAAAGTCTTGGAGCTGTGGATCACTAGGACCCAGGCTGTAACAAAGGCTGGGTCAGTGGCTCAGGGCAGCCAAGCCCTGTACCCCTGGCCTTGCCATGTGGTTCAGACCATGACTGGTAAACAGGAGAGCATAATGTAGCACTTCTCAAACTCGGGTATGGTACCCCTCTGAGGGCACACACTGATGTCCTGAAGAGAAAGACTACATTTCCCAGACTCTTGTCTGTCCAGCAAGACATGATCATGTGATTGACTTCTGACCAATGGGATAAATGCAGGAGATTTTTCTCTTCTTTGCTTCACCCTCCTTCCTGCTGGGTGGAATGTGGACAAAATGGCTGGAACTCAAGCAGCCTATCAACCCGTGAGGTGAAAACCACTGGTTACAGATGCTAGAGGGTCCAGAAGGAGGGAGCTGGTGATTGTGGATATGCCACACCACCTCTGGCTTCCTGTATCTGCTTGAGAGAAAGAAAAAAAAAATGTGGCCGGGACAGTGGCTCATGCCTGTAATCCCAGCACTTTGGGAGACCAAGGTGGGTGGATCACTTGAGGTCAAGAATTTGAGACCAGCCTGGCCAATATGATGAAACCTTGTCTTCACTAAAAGTACAAAAATTAGCTGGGTGTGGTGGTGCATGCCTGTAATCCCAGCTACACAGGAGGCTGAGGTAGGAGAATCGCATGAACCTGGGAGGTGGAGGTTGCAGTGAGCCAAGATCACACCACTGCACCACTGCACTCCAGCCTGGGAGACAGAGCAAGACTCCATCTCAAAAAAAAAAAAAAAAAAAAAAGAAAGAAAGAAAGAAAAGAAAAGAAAAGAAAAAAGCCTGACGTATTGAATGCCTGCAGTCTTGAATGAAAGCATGCTAATGTATAACATGTTGCTAAGTTACTGTGAGAAGTCTGTCACTCACTGCCAAATCCAGTCCCACCTGATATGCCTCCATGTACCCACCTCCTCACAGATGAGGAAACTGATGTGAGAGACATCTGCCCTGGGACATTATTTCTATACAAAGATTTCATATAAAAAACAAATTTCCCTTTTTATTTTTCCCAAGGCTTATTTAATCCATTTCACCCCTTCTGTTTTATATTAAAACAAATACACACATTCTGGGGAGGGACGAAGAACATCCAGTGAATTTTAAAGAAAGCTTTTGTGTTGTCCGCTTGTTACCAAGGTCTGCCCCAAGGTCCTCTAATGCAGCTGTCCCCTACCTTTTTGGCACCAGGGACTGATTTCATAGAAGATAATTTTTTCACGGACCCAGGTGTGGAGGAGAGGATGATTTCAGGATGGTTCAAGTGCATTACATTTATTGTGCACTTTAATTATATTATTATTACATTGTTTAAAATAGTGAAATTATATAACCCACCATATGTAGAATCAGTGGGAGCCCTGAGCTTGTTTTCCTGCAACAAGACGATCCCATCTGGGGGTGATGGGAGACAGTGACAGATCATCAGGCATTAGATTCTCATAAGGGGCGCGCAGGCGAGATCCCCCGCATGCGCAGTTCACAACAGGGTTCACGCTCCTATGAGAATCTAGTACCACTGTGAGGCGGAGCTCAGGCGGTCCTGCGAGCGATGGGGAGTGGCTGTAAATACAGGCGAAGCTTTGCTCACTCGTCATTCACCTCCTGCTGTGCAGCGCAGTTCCTAACAGGCCAGGGACCTGTACTGATCTGTGGCCCAGGGGTTGTGGTTGTGGACCCCTGCTCTAATCGGTACCCAGTCCCTCTGCTGCCAACAAGAGGACCACTGAAAGAAAGATCCTGAACACTGTCTCAGGCAGCAGAGGAGCCTGCATTTGAATCCCAGATCTACTACTTCTTAGCCACGTGTTCTTGGGCAAACCAGTTCACCTCTCTGAGCCTCAGTTTCTTCCTCTGTAAAAATGAGGATACTCATGTATGCCTCGGAGGGTAGGTGAAGGTGTGACTCGATTCTGTCTGTGAGCGGCCCGGGCCCAGAACGAGGCACAGAGTAGATGCTCTTGTTCCTGTCCCAGGAGCTGACCTCACCATTCCAGGCACAGCCAGTGGCCTCTGTCAGAATCACACTCGGAGACAGTTGCACAAACAAGATGGTTTAATAGATTTCAGCATGTTTCCACTTGACAATGTTATATGAAAATAGAATATTAAAATAGCAAAGCACAACAATCACTGCTACTCAGGAAACACTGTCTTTATTGTTGTGAATGATCAAAATCAATGACTTTGGGCAAGACCTGTGAACTCTCGGAGGCTGTTTCTCCCTCTGGAGAACAGGCAGGTAGGACATTGCCAGCTCCCTGTGGGTGGGAGCCACTGGTGGGAGGAGATGGCCCTGGTGGCCTGTGTGATGAGAACTAACTCCTCCTTCTGTCCCTGGAGAAGGTCAGGGAGATGCCAGGTGGCCTTAAGGCAAGGCTATCACTTGCTTATCTCGTTTTGTAACAGAGAAGAGACAGCTCTGAGCCTTGGCCAACCAGCACGGAGCCCCCTCCCCAGTGAATTTATTTTTCACGTCACTTTCTATTTTTGGCAGCGAGTGATACATGTTATCCACTATCAGCAGCAACAGAAAAGTTCCTTTTTAAAACAAATTTAAATTTAAAAAGCGAGTCTGTTTAAAGGAGACTATTTGGTAAACAACAATATTAAAATATAGCAAACAATAGTAATAATAATCATAATGGTAAGGAAACACTTCATTAGGTCAACTCAAGAGTATTTCATTTTTGCCACTGAGCTTTAAAAAAAAAGAATATTCCTTACATATGTCCAGTAATTTTGATTCTTTTTTGGCGGGGGGTGGGGGGGGTATAGTCTTGCTCTGTTGCCCAGGCTGGAGTGCAGTGGTGCAATCACGGCTCACCACAACCTCTGACTCCTGGATTCAAGTGATTCTTCCGCCTCAGCCTCCCGAGTAGCTGGGACTACAGGCACGTGCCACCATGCCCAGCTAGTTTTTGTATTTTTAGTAGAGACGGGATTTCACTGTGTTGGCCAGGCTGGTCTCAAACTCCTGACCTTGTCATTCTCCTGCCTTGGTCTCCCAAAGTGCTGGGATTATAGGCGTGAGCCACAGCGCTGGGCCAGTAATTTTTATTAAGCAAAGGATGAAGAAATACAATGGCATCCACGTACCTTCCTAACTAGCATGTAGCAGGTAGCTAACCCACTCATCTCTCCCTCTTTTCTTTCTGGCTTATATTTTTTTAAAAGAGAAAAAGAGAGAAAGAAAAATAATGATTAAAACAAGGGCAGCTTTAAATCATCAACTCCTGAGCTGCACTTCAGTATCTCAGGTAACCGCTGGAGCTGCCTTGTAGGAGCAGGTCTTTTCCTTGAGTGTAATTCACTAATGATCGTGGCTTCAAGGAGGTGCGACCTTTAAAGAGAATTGGCCCTTCGGTGAAGGCAGGTGAGAATCTAGTCTCAGTGACAACCCAGCCTGATTTGGAAGCGGGAAGTCATAAGGGTTTTCCCCCAGCACACCAGGGTTGCAGCCTGCGCAAGACCTTCCACAGCTATTTCTGCCGGCTTGCTTCCTTCCCTTCCCAGCCACGATGAGGCAGCTGAGGGTTGCCAGGGAAACCGGCTCTGTCCTCCCACTGGAGGCTGCCAGCTCTGATTTCCCGCAGAGTTAAGAAGGAGGCGGCAGGCAGCGGGGGTCACCCAGGCGTGAAGATGGGTTTCCCTGGGGATATCCCGCCTCCTGCCAATCACAGTGTCTCTCTGGGAATCCTGGGGGTGCCTGGAGGCTGAGGCCCAGGGAAGCCCCCAAACCCCAGTGCTGCTCTGAGAAGAGACTAGGCTCTGGGACATTCAGAAGTCTGGGGTTCTTTTCTCTCCCTCCAGCTAAAGCTAGAGGGACCTCATCATGTGACTTACAAGATGTCCCTCATGTTTAGGTGCCTCTGGTTCTGTCAGCTCTCTGTAGTTGAGAAGAATTGCCCCATTACCATCCCCCTTGAGCCCAAGGAACAGGAGTTGCCCATCCAGCATTTGCTCCCAGGACAGTCAATCTGCCTGCGGAGTTCTACAGCTTATGAGCTAGAACTCATAATGAGCTAGAACTTGCGGCCCCGGCAAGTCATCTCTCCTCTCGGTTTTCTCATCTACAAAGCAGGCACAGCCCTCCTTCTCTTCACAGAAATGCTGTGTTTCTAGAAATACTGCCAAAAGGGCCTATCGCAGGCATGTGAAGGGTCTCAATAAACAGGACCCAATATTAATATAAGTATTAAGCATCTAAAAAAGGTTTGTAGGCCATTTTCCTCTTTAAGCTGTATTTTATTTATTGAGACAGCGTCTCATTCTGTTGCCCGGGCTGGAGTGCCATGGCACAATCTCAGCTCACTGCAACCTCCACCTCCTGGGTTCAAGTGACACTTGTGCCTCAGCCTCCTGAGTAGCTGGGATTACAGGCATGCTCCACCACACCTGGCTAATTTTTGTAATTTTAGTAGAGATGGGGTTTCACCATGTTGACCAGGCTGGTCTTGAACTCCTGGCCTCAAGTGATCCGCCCACCTCAGCCTCCCAAAGTGCTGGAGTTACAGGCATGTGCCGCCACGCCTGGCATAGGCTTTTTGTTCTAAAGCTGGGGCAAAGGCAAGTTTTCATCACTGATACATTTGTTCAAAGGGTGGTGCACTTGGGCTGGGTTGGACCAATTAGCTGGTCCCCGCCACCTCTTGTAATGTCACTTCTAAGAGTTAGAGCAGGGTCTCACACTCAGATGCCTTCAGGGCCAGGAGGCACTGTGAATGCAGAAGCAGACTCGGTCAGAACCGCAGTGAAGCAGAGAGCTCGTGTCCTGCATAAGGGAGGCGGCTGCCATTCGGCTCTGGCCAACAGTTACCCACATCTTTGGTAATGTGAGCCCAGTGTGGTCAGATATACCATGTTTCCAAGAGAAGCTGGACATTTTCAATGAACTCTCCCAAAGATGATAACAACTAAGGTAATTTTTTTTAAGTGCAGTCTAAACAAAGCACATCTGCAGACTGGATCGTGACCACAGTTTGGGCTTCTGCACTAGAATGCATGAGATCAGCACCTTCTGTTTTGGTTTGAACAGTCTAAGGAGTCCTGGGTGGCTTCTTCCAGCCATCTCGTCTGGGCTGTGTCTTCCTTAGCTCCCTACCTGAGTGCTGACACTGAAAAAACCCATCCCATCTGGTGCCTGTCACTCTAGAACAGAAAACTCCACTCCTCAGAGCCCCATGTTTGGAAGGTGCCCCTGTTCTGTACCCAGAATGCATCATTCTTGGGAAAGCTCTCCTGCATTTTCTCAACTTGTGTGAGCAATGAGGGAAGTGTCTGGTAAATGGGGCATCCAGGGAAGCAGATATTCTAAGGGACTCCTTTGGCTTTAGCTGGTTTAAGGATAATTGGGGGACTGACTGCTGAATGACATCAATGGACACTGCTAGGTCCTGAGTGGCCTTTCTGTGGCAAGTATCTGCTTTGACTGGATAAGGCCTGGACCATGATAGCTGATAGGAACAGGGAAGGTGGCCCTCTGGGAGTTGGGGGAAGAGCAGTGAGGACTCCTTCTGCCTTGTCTGTCTTCACAGCGCCTCCTGGCCCTGAAGAAATCTGCATGATGAATGAGGTGAGTTGGGAGCAGAAAAGGCCTGATTTTGGAAAGAAAATTTTGCAGCAGATAATCCACAGAGCTTTGGATGTCTTTTCTTTGTTCATTGTCTCTTGGCTTTTCCCTCCCCTGAACCCAGCCTTCTGGGAGAAAAGCAGGGAAGTGGTAATGCTGGCCCCTGCACCCAGGCCAACTGTGCATGCAGAAAGCTGGGAGGCTGGGGCAGGCTGGGCAGTGGCAAGCACGGGGATCCGTCTGCTCCCTGTGTCACGGCCGGATGCGGTAGCGGATGGGCACGTCATGTTCCGGCTGCATTAGACCGAAGCCGTACCTGCTGAGGTCAAACTCAGGGATTTCCACATCTGCATTGATCAGCTCCAGGTCCAAGTGCACCAGCACGAGGAACACAAATCTGCAGAGAGATGGCATGGAAGGTGTGAGGAAGAGGGGCAGGGTGGGGTGCTATCAGGAATAAGGCAGGGAAGCCATGGCTGCCTCCTGAGTCTGACTTCAACTTTGGGAAAAGTGAGAACAGAGGAACAAGGAAGCAGAACAAAGGCATTTGCTGCTCACCACGTTTGCTGCTCACCGCATTTGCCAGCCCCCTGTAATGTCAGGCAGGCCCGTGGATGAGTTCCGGTGAGTGGACTGTGTGCAGAAGTGGCCTGTGTTATTCCTGTGTCAAAGCATTCATGAGCCAGTGTGTGGCTCTCCAGCTGTCCCTCCTGCCTAGCAGCCATGCAGGCTTCACCTTGAGATAGCGGAGCCAGAAGAGGAAAAGAGCCTGGCCTGAGGCTCTGCACAGAGTGGGGAAGCCCCCAAACCCACAGCTGATACCGTGAGTGGAACTAAACCCCTGTTGGTAAAAGCCACTGAGGCTCAGCAGGTGCAGAGCTGAGCCTATGCTGATTAACATAGACTCCTCTGGATCCTTCAGCCCACACCCTTCTCTGCCTTTCTGCAAACTCATGGAACCCTCACTGTCTATCCTGGCCAGGGCTGCTGCTCTTAGGTGGCTTTGTGAGGTTAGAAACAGGCATCGCTCTCCCAAGACATTTTACTGCCATCTCTGAGAACATTGTCCTAATAGACCAACTTTGCAAGAACAATTGCTCTCTACTGCCATCTTCTGGGAAAACTGTCATAATAAATATTCAAAGCTGCCATGCCTATGATGTAATCAGTGCCCCCATAAATGTGGAGCCAGCCCTACAGATGTCGGCGGTTGCTGCCTGTCTGCCTCATCTTACCACTGCCTGTGTTCATAAGGGTCACAGAATATCTTATGACTCTTTCCCCACCATTATTCCCTACCCAGACCCAGGTGCCCGATGCAGGACTGAGCACATGGCAGGGATTCTTTTATCTTACGGAAGGAGTGAAGAAGGGGAAGATGAGGAGAGAGGGAAGTTAACACTCTGGAAAGAAGACCTGGGCTATGCCGCTTATGGGGATGTGGCCCTCGCCAAGTTCCTTCTCACTCTGGGTCTCGGTTCTCCCATCTGGTCAAAGAGGGGAAAGACAGGATGAGTCTCTTCCAGCTCTGAGGCTGTAGAATACTAGAGGGTGAGTTTCTATGGGATGGCAGTTTTGTGCTAACCCCTGGATTTGAACCTGGTGCCTCCACTTCCCGGGAACATGACCATAGCAAATGGGCTACCTGTCGAGACTCAGTTTTAGACGGACCAGCAGGGTTGTCATGACAATTCAGTGAGATAAAAATAACAACAAATTAGCTAATTTATTGGAACACTGTATGCTACGCACCAGCTAAGCATTTAGTATCTATTGTCTCTTTTTATCTGTCCAAAAACTTGATAAATAGGAATGCCAGTCGGCTCTGCTCTAATACTTGTTTTGAACAGGTGAATTTGTTCCAATAGGATTGATATATTAGGGCACAATTTGAGTATAATGCAAGTTTCACATTTGCTCATATGCAATTTCACTTGTGAGAAACATGAGATGAATACAAAAAACTGTACTCAGCTGAACCCTGGCTGTGCAGAAATCCATAAAACATACACACGCATACAGCTAAGCATCAATCTACAGCCAGTTACGACAGCACTTAACACAGTTCTTAGCCATGTAACATGCATAAAACTTTACTACCATTTTTTACTGGGTTCTTCTTTCTTTTTTTTTTTTAATATGTCACTGATGAGGTTTTTGAGTGTTGGGCCCAGTCCCTTTTTTCCTCTAATCCCTAGTTTTGTTTGTTTGTTTGATTAGTTAGGGTTTTTTTTTTTTTTGAGACAGAGTCTCACTCTATCACCCAGGCTGGAGTGCAATGGTGCGATCTCAGCTCACTGCAACCTCCATCCCTGGGGTTAAAGAGATTCTCCTGCCTCAGCCTCCTGAGTAGCTGGGATTACAAGCATGCTCCACCACACCTGGCTAATTTTTGTATTTTTAGTAGAGATGTGGTTTCACCATGTTGGACAGGCTGGTCTCAAACTCCTGACCTCAAATGATCCGCCCACCTTGGCCTCCCAAAATGCTGGGATTACGGGCATAAATCCCTGCAGTTTTTGTTGCATGATTTCATACAGCAAAGTGATTTTTAGGAACGCATATGAACTCTATTATGCTCAGGATCAACTCCATTTTCTTGAGAAAACTGAGGCCAAAGGTTAATATAATGTGCCCATTCACTTAGCATAATGCATGCACATTAATAATAATTATGATAATAATTAACATTTATCAAATGCCTACAATGAGCCAGGCAGTGGGCTAAGAACTTAGAAAGATCCAACTCATTTATCCTGATACCCCTGGGGTGCAGTTATAATCAGAACCCTTGTTTTACAGTTGAGGAAACAGAGGCTCAGAAGGTCGCCCAGCTTATGATTGCACAGGGGCTGGACAGGAGGACAGGGCAGATGTAATAACCCCGGTCCAATCTGTCTGTGAACTTGGTGGCCAAGGCTCCTGGGGTTCAGGGAAGATAATTTATGAGGCTCTCAGCCCCCACAGGCATTAAAATAACCAAGCGGGAACAGTGAAGTTCGGTCAGTTCCTAACACGAGGTTCTGAACACGCAGCAGCAGCTGCAGACGGACAGCTACGGTCAGCTGAAAGGAATGTCCAGTATTTGGAATTTGGACACCAGTCTTGGAGGGAAGAACCTGCTGCCAGATCTGATTATTTCAAAAGAAATCCAAAATCTGGCTTTTTTTTTTTTTTTTTTTTGAGACGGAATCTCACTCTGTCGCCTAGGCTGCAGTGCAGTGGCATGATCTCGGCTCACTGCAACCTCTGCTTCTGGAGTTCAAGCAGTTCTCCTGCCTCAGTCTCCCAAGTAGCTGGGACTACATATGCCCACCACCACACCCAGACAATTTTTGTATTATTTAGTAGAGACGGGGTTTCACCATATTGGCCAGGCTGGTTTTGAACACCTGACCTGCCCACCTCAGCTTCCCAAAGTGCTGGGATTTCAGGCGTGAGCCACTGCGCTCAGGGCCTGAAATCTGGCTTTTTAAAGTAAGCACTTCTGATTTTTAAAAGCGCATAGTTGAAAAACCACAAATAAATGATGGCTCACAGGCTGTCTGTGTGGAGCCTCTGCCAAACCATTCTCTTGGCTGACCCCTCAGTCCCAGGAGAGAAGGGCGCGTGCCAACCAGGCAGTCAGGAGCCACCCTGGCCCACCCTGGCCCCCCACTTACTGTTTGATGCTGTTGACTGCGTAACTCCTCCCCAGGCAGTGATTGTGCCCCGCCCCCCAGGGCATGTTGTAATTCTTCAGCCGTTTCCCATCCTTGTAAAAGTCTTTCTTCTCTGATCCGTCAGGGTTCAGGAATCGGTTGTATTTAAATACCTGAAATAGGAAGAAGGTCCATTTCTGACCCCACTCCCAGAACAAGACTGCACCAAGAAAATGTATGAGGATCTTCATGACAGTCATGTTTGTAAGAGGGAGAAACTGGAAACCATATAGAGGTCAATTGATAGAAGATTGGTTAAAAAATTATGGCGAAAGGTTTGTGTATACTGACATGGAAAGAATTTCTACAATTGGTTGTTGAGAGAGAAAAGCAAGTTTTAGAATAGTATGCACTGTATGATCCTATACACACACCGACCTTTTCATGGCATGTGAATGTGCTCTGTGTATGCCTGTAAAGCCATGAAAACAATTCACAAGGCACACTTCAAACCACGGTTAGAGAACTCTGTAGAACCGGAGAAGAAGGGAAATATATATTTTTTTACTTTTAAGTATGTATTTCTCCATATTTCTTTATACTTTATGATAAGTATATATTACTTTTTTAAATGTAAAATAAAAGAAATTTAAATAATTTTTTAAAAGAAAGTGCCAGTTTCCTTTGGTTACATTGCACAGTGGTAAGGCAAGGATTGTACCTGAGCACAGGGCTTGGCGTGGAGTAGCTGCTGACTGAAAGATGGGTGGAAGGATAGGTGAATGGACCAGTGGATAGACTAAGAGATGGAAATGTGGATGGAACAATGGATGAATGGAGGGATGGATGAATGGATGGGTAGATGGGGTGGATGGATGGATGGGTATATGGATGAATGAATGGGTAGACTGATGGATGGGCGGATAAATGAATGAATGGATGAATGGAAAAATGGATGGAAGGATGAGTAGATAGGTGGATAGATAGATGGATGCGTGGATAAGTAGAAGAACGGGTGGATGAATATAGGAGTGAGTGAGTAGATAAATGCGTGGGTGGATGGATAAATGAGTAGATAGATGAATGGACAGATGGATGGATAGATGGATGAATTCACAGGTAGGTGGGTGGATGAAAGGGTAGCTTGGTGGGTGAATGGATGGATGGATGGATGGATGGGTGGATGGGTGGATGGGTGGATGGGTGGATGGAAGGATGGATAGATGGGTGGTTGGGTGGATGGATGGGTGTATGCATAGATTAATGGATGGATGGTGAGTTTGTGGATGGATGAATGGATAGATGGATATATGGGTAGATGGGTGGATGGATGGATAGATGAGTAGATGGGTGCTGGATGGACAAATGAATGGGTAGATGGGTGAATGAAAGGGTAAATTGGTGGGTGGATGGATGAATGGATGGATAGATGATTGGATAGGTAAACAGGTGAGTGTGTAGATGGATGAATAAATAGATAGGTGGATGCATGAGTAGATGGGTAGGCAGATGAATGAACGGATGGATGAGCATGTAGTTTAGAGACTGACACACAGTAAGCACACAATCTGTTAGCAATTGTGAAAGTCTGCTTCATCTCAAAATCTGGGGAGAGGGAAGTGTTGGGAAACTGACCTTATAACGTTCTGAAATAAGGAAAATGGCTCAGCTATCACAAAGTACTCAGTGTGAATAAACATCCCGTCATGTTCAAGGGTTCCTCAGAGACCCTTGAACATGAGGAGATCTGGGTCTGACTTGAAGAGAAGCTGTGAAGAAAGGTAGGAGCTAGAGAGGTATCAGAAGGCTGGGGAGAGAGGGGGGCCATCAGTATCTGCTTCTGCATGATCCCATTTCATCTTCCATTCATCCTCATGAGGCAGGTGCTATCATGAGGTCCATTTCACAGGTGAGGAAGCAAACACAGAGAGGTGAAGCAATCTGGGCAATGTCACATAGCAAACAAGGAGGCAGGCTGCCACTCAGATCTGGCTCATCCCAAAGTCATTGATTTTTCTCCCACAGACCCCATATGACCAGGCACCCCTGGCATTACCTCTGGGTCTGTGTAGATTTCTGGGTCTCTCTGGGGGCTCAGGAAGGGGAAGAGGAGGAGGCGGTCACCACGTCGCAGGTTGAATTCTCGCCCGTCTGCCATGGGCATGGCCAGGTCCACCACGACCTCACGGGTGATGAAGGGAGCAGCTGTAAGCCTGAGGCTCTCACTCAGCACGCTGTCTGCATGGGGCAGGTGCAAGGAAGGGTCAGCAGGCTGTTCCTTCACCTGCTCATATGCCACCCCCAGCTCTTATTTTACAGAGGAATATGAAAAGGCTCAGGGAGGGTGCCTGCCTTGCCCACAGTCACACAGCAAGGTGGAAAAGGCCAAATTGATGAGATATGGTCTCCGTGGTCCCTCAGAGACCCTTGAATATGAGGGTATCCAGGTCTGACCCCAGGAGAAGTTGTGAGGGAAGGTGGGAACTAGGAAGATATCAAAGGCTGGGGAGAGAGTGGGACCATCGATCTCTGTTTCTGCCTGCCCGGCATATATTTCTCTTCTGGAAACGGGTCCCTGATTTTCCTCTAGGGTCCACCCCTCTCTCACTCTAAGGGGTTAGACTGCTGATTCTGTGCTCAGCTACTGGGATGGGGCTGTGACTGGCCAATCAGAGCATCCCTCTGAGCCCTGTGATTGGTTCAGGATGGATACATGACCCAAAGAAAGCCAATGAAACACAGTCTTAGGATTCTTGGTGGGACCATTGTAAGAGATGCAGAATCTCACAGAGCCGAGAGGAAGTCAGCCTTGAGCTGCCAATAGCTACTGCCAGCCTGAGACCGCAGGAAACAGTGGGAAACAGGGCTGAGAGGTGGAGAGGAACGGAGTCGTCCTGACGACATTGTTAAAGTGCCTGGGTCTACCTGTGCCTCAGGCCAGTCCTCTGGACTTTTTAGTGACATTTCTCAAAGTGCCTTTTCACCTCAGCCAGTTGAAGTTAGGTTTTCTGTCCCTTGCCTCCTAGCTGAGACTGGAGTATGGAGATGCCAGGTCTGTGAAGACAGGAGGCTCAGGGAGACCCTAGGCTGGAGGACACTGATGGACCCTGGAAGACAGGAGCCCATGTTGGGGAGAGTTTTGGGGTCCACGATGATGCAGCCTTAGGGGCTATCTTGGAGGGTCTGACCATCTCACCAAGCACAGGTGTGCTGTCTAGAACCTTCTGTGGGAGGGTGGTCATCTGCGAGACAGGCTGCTCTGCTGGCCAAAGGATACTCTCGAGTTCTCCGCGGACAGCAGCCAGGGCTTCAGGATTCTTGAGAAGGAAGAGCAGGAGCCAGAAGGCAGCAGGACCCATATTCCCCTGCAAGGAGAAGGGCCCCTGTTATGCCATTTGAGGGCAGAGCTGACTCGTCTCTGCCAGGGACACAGCCCAGGCCAAGACAGAGGGGCCAGTAGGCCTGGGCTCCCACTGCTGCCAAATACCTGGGCATGGCCAGTGTCTATCTCCAGCCTCAGGATGTGTCCAAAACTGCTCTGTGGCCCAAAATACCAACTTCAAGCCCACTCATGGCATCCCTGACTGTGAGCAAAGTCATGAATCCTAGGTCACATAGGTAATCTTCATAGCTAATCAGCAAGACAGTGTCAGTAATAGGAACAGGCTGTCTCAGTTAAGACCGTTAACATCTGAGAATGATCACGTTGTTGGCCCCAATTTTTCACCAATCCCAGAATCCACGCTCCTTACCATGTGACTTCGCTGTTCCTCCCATTAAAGAGCAAGAGGTATTTCCCCCGCCTTTTGAATTTAGGCTCAGCTATGGACTTACTCTGTCCAATAGAAGAGGCAGAATTGACAGAGCACCCACTCTACACCTAAGCCGTAGAGACTTTGCGTGTTTCCACTTGCCTGGCAAGCCCAATGATTCCAACGGGAGAATGAGAGACTCATGGACAGAGCTGAGCTGCCCCACTGAGCCAGACCCACAGGCCCGTGAGTTAAATAAATGCTGATGGGTATATGCCACTGAGTTGTGAATGTTTGTTACGCAACAATAGCTAACTGGTGCAATAACTAAAGATTTGCTTCCAAATACAATCATTCTCGATGTAGTTTGGGATTCAAAAGTTCTTTATATGTTTTGTATGTTAAAATTCTATAGTCACTTGAATAAATCTGTGTGTTGTGTACGTATAAAACAAAGCTGCAATCATCATTGATGACTGTGAAAGCTATGAATAAAAATTATTTAAACTTCTTAATAGATAAACACTTAGGAAAATGGAATTTCTTGCTTCAAGGCTTCAGTCTTAGCTGAACATTTTCATACACATTTTAGCCTCAGCTCTTTGGTATGTGGCTAAAATGTGTACACAGCACCCTTTAGTGATCCAGAGATGGGTGGAATACCAACTAATCTCAACTTGGGGTAAGGTTTTTGTCTGCTGTGACTATCCTATTCAATCATAATAATGGAATATTAAATCATCATTAAATATCATGTTTACCCAGTAATTTCATTACAGACATAATTGCACATGGGCAAAAGGACATATGCACGAAGATAATTATTGCAGTGCTAATATAATAGCAAAAAGCTGGAAACCACCCCCATGTCTATCAAGAGGGGATCAATGAGATAAATGAAGATCCATCCATGGGCTGATGACGCACGAAGTCATTAGGAAGAAGCTGGCTCTGTGTGTACTGATGTGGCACTGAAGCCAAGACACACGGAAGCATGCAAACAGCAAGGAGCAGGGTGGCGGCTCAGCATGCTGCCATTTGTGTGTTTGTTTAAAGAGAAATATACCTGAAGAAGCACAGACCATTGCTTTTTTTTTGAGACAGGGTCTCGCTCTGTCACCCAGGCTGGAATCCCGTGGCACAATCATAGCTCACTGCAGCCTTGACCTCCTAGGCTCAAGTGATCCTCCTGCCTTAGCCTCCCAAGGAGCTGGGGCCACAGGCAAGTGATACCCAGCTAAGTTTGTTTTTGTTGGTAGAGATGGGGGTCTTCCTATATAGCCCAGGCTGATCTCAAACTCCTCCTGGCCTCAAGCAATCCTCCTGCCACAGCCTCCCAAAGCACAGACTATCTCTAAGAGACACCAGAAACTGGTAACTGAGGTTGCCTTGGAGCAGAAGCTGGGAAGACAAGAGCATAGGGCGGAAGGAGACTGACTTTCCTTGCAAATACCCTTTCACACTGTTCAGAATTTTTAAATGGACACATTAATTTTAAATGAAACAGAAGACCCCTAGGCTGGAGTGCAGTGGTGTGATTATGGCTCACTGTAGCCTCCACCTCCTGGGTTCAAGTGATCCTCCTACCTCAGCCTCCCAAGTAGCTGAGACTACAAACATGCACCACCATGCCTGGCTAATCTTTCTATTTTTTTGTAAAGATAAGGACTCACTGTTTCCCAGGCTGTATCCAAATGATTTCTATAGTGATGTACAGTGTCATGAGAAATGTTCATGTTATGATATTAAACCAAATAGAAGGTTAGATTGAAACAGCTGCATGATCTTAACCACAGAAGAAAAGCATACAGGGAAAGGCTGGAAAGAAATGCACCAAAGTATCAATGATGGTGAGACAGATTTTGTCTTCTTTAGGGCCCATGAGGCCATGAGGCCCCACACTCCTCCACTCGATACTTCCAACATGCAGGCGCCATTATTAGGCCTTTTACTGAAAAGGAAACGAAGCACTCCCTGGTCGCTACCCACTGCCCACCATATAATGGAGGCTCACTGTTATTTGTCAAATAAACATCTGTGTCCCTTTAGACCTGAGTGGAGCCCCAAGACAGCCTGGGAGGTGGGTTGAAAAATCCTTGAACTGAGACCAGACAGAGATGGGTTCAAATCCCAGCTCCCTACTTTCTGTGACCGTGGACAGGTCACATCCCGCTTTGGGTCTCAACACTGGGGATAACACTGCGACCTCCTGGGTGACCGCAAGGGTCCAGTGAGGACCACATGTGCTGCGCCCAGAGTAGGTGCTCAGAAGTGGTCACCCCTTTCCCACTGGCCCCTCCCCTGAATTTGAGAACAAGTCGGGGGAGCCTCGGGCCCTTTCTGAGAGTTCTGCCAGCACCTCAGCTCCAGCTGAGACAGCAAGGTCACTTGCTGTCCATCACTTAAATAGCCAGGCGAATGCGGGTGATAAATAATTCAGCACTGGGTTAGCTCCGCGCCAAGGCCATTTGATCTGGCCCAGATGGTCAGATGGGGGCCACCACTCACTAATTACCAAGCAGGAGTGGAACACATGGGTGCTTGGCTATCTCTGCTTGCAGGAAAAAGCTGTGGCAAGTTAAGGAGGTGACCAAGACCACCTTCCACCCAACTGCACAGATGAGAGTGTGAGCGTGCACGTGCGTGCACACAGCCATAAGAGATACTGAATTCGCCACCCTGGAGTTTGAGCTCTTGCCCATGGAGCCTTGCCTCTGTTTACTCAGGAAGTTTCTCGTTTGTCCTCATTCCCTCCTACTGCAGCCAAAAGCCATGACCCAGCAGTGTTGCCTCCTGTTCTAGCTTTCCTGTGAATGGCGGTGGCTGACCCCTGGGAGGCACTGCCTGCAGGCCAGAACACACCCTAGGCGACTCGCATGCTCCGTCTTATCACCTCCTGACCACACAGCCCATCGGTGGGAGTGGGGGACACCCATTGCCTGAGTCTGCCCTGCACCTGTAACAGCACCCCGCTTTCCTTCACAGAACCACCTCCTCTTAAACCCAAGTCTGTGTGGGTCATCCAGGGCTGACCCACCTTCCAGACTTCAAGTGTGGCCATGGGACCCAGGCAGAGACACTGAGTGATCCACGCAGAGGGGGCGTGTGAGTTGGCTGGGCCAGTGAGTATCAGGCTTGGGAGCTGTACTGGAATATAGGGGAAGGGGAGCCCTCCTTCACGGGGATTGCTAAATTACATGGAGCTGCTGGAGGGTATCACAGCCACCCCCCAGGGCAAACCCTCTGAAGATGCAGCCCAGAAGGGAGAGCTGAGGGATGGGGTCACGGATGGTGTTTCTTTTAATTTTTGTGATTTCAAAAATTCCAAGGGAATAAAAGAATATGTGATAACGACGTGTTAGTTTAGGTCATAAATGGTAACAAATGTGCCACTCTGCTGAGGGCACTGGCGACAGAGACGGAGGCGTTGGGAGAAGGGGGATAGGGGAAATCCCTGCACCTTTCCATCAATTTTGCTGTGAACCTAAACTTGCTATAAAAATAGAGTCTATTTAAAACGAACAAAAGCCCTATGCACAGTGTAGGATCCTGGATTGGCTCCTGGAAGAGAAATAGGATATTAGTGGGAAAATGGGGGAAATGGGGATGGACTTTAGTTACGAACAATGTCCCAGTGCTGATTCTTAGTCCTGATGAATGTATTGCGGTTACGTAACATCAGGGAAGGCTGGGTGAAGGGTATCTGGGAACTCCCTGTACTATCTTTGCAACTCTTTTATAATCTAAAATTATTTCAAGATAAAACTACTAATGAAGAATTTAAAAAAAAAATCACCCAACCCTCTTTACGGACGGTGAAACTGAAGCCCAGAAAAGTGACTTGAGGTCACACAACTAGTTTAGTGGCAAGTGTGAGATTCTAACTAAGTCTGTCTGACTCTGAATACTGTGGTTTTGCTTTCCACTCTGCTATCAAATGCCTCAGGGATTCTTCCTGATGATCACCATCTCAGTGCAGCTATCTGCAGGCCCAGCAGCTCCCACGCTTCCCTTCCCTACCTCTCAGGACCACCCAGGAGTTTCCAGGGCTGTGTGGCTGTGGCTGCTGAGGATGTGATGGAGAGAAGGCCAAGCGAGATATGGGGAAGGAAGAGAAGGACAGGATGTGACTGATGGCGCTGAGGGAGTCAAGCATCATGACTCTCAGTCCCGGCATTACCAGCATCAGTGAGCTCAGAGCTGGGAGGGAGGGAAACCTGTCATGTGTTTGGAAACTCTTCTCCATCTGCCCCCCACCACCCCATCCCACCTTCCCTCAGAGCCTCCTCTTCTCCCTGCCTGGGCCTTAGGTCTCTGCCCACAGGGTCCTCCCGGGATGCCCAAGCCTCCCTCTGCCCCTTCCATCACTCCAGCTTCCAGGCTCGGGGGTTCTGGATTCATGGAGCTGCTGTGAAGATCCTAGAGATAAAGTTTGCAAAGTGCTCAACATGGTGCTTGGCCCAGGGCAACTGCTCAGTATCTTTTGAGATTATTATTCCTGACTCATCATCTCTGACCTTACAGCAGCAATCACAGCTACCATTTCTCAGCTCCCAGCAGCATCTGACTCAGCTGCCCACGCCTGGCTCTCCCCTGCCCTCCCCTGCCCTCCCCTGCCCTCCCCTGGCTCCTTCCTCCTCACCTTTCTCAACACTGGAGAGCCCTGGGGATGCCCCCTTCTCCACCCACCCTCACCCCCAGTCTCTCCTTCAGTCCTGAGGCTTTAAACTTCTCTCTGCTGACAAATCCCAAAGGTACATCTCAGCCTGGACCTCAAACTCCAAGTCCAGACTCTTCTCCGTGTCCACTCCTCCTTCTCCATCTCAAATTCAACACACCCAAAGCCAAACCCCCAATCTTCTCCCCAAAACTTGCTTCTCCCGCCATCTTCCTCATCTGCCCATGGCCTTGCCATCCCTCCTGTGGCTCAGGCCCAAACCTGGAGTCATCCTTGATGGCCTCCCCCACAGTCCCATCCAACACCAGATCCTGTTGGCTCTACTTTGGAATATGTTCAGAATCAAACCGGCCCCCGCCCCTGGCCCAGCACCACACTCTCTTGCCTGGATCCTGCAGTGGCCTCCTCCCTGCTCTCCCCACCTCTGCTTCCCCCCACTACAGTCTCTTGTCACTGCTGCAGCCAGAATGATCCCTCTAAAGCATAAGACAGATCAGGTTTTCCCTCTGCTCAGAGCCCTCTCACTCAAAGTAAAAGCCAAAGCCCTCCCCAAGGATGACAGGGCCCTGTGCGGTCCAGCAGCTCTACCTCCCCACCATGTCACCCTCGGTCCTGCCTCAGGGCCTTTGCACTTGCTGCCCCCTGCCTGCGAGCCTTCACTCTATGTATTTACATGGCCCACTCCTCACTTCCTTCAGTCTCTGCCCAGATGTCACCTTTCAGTGAGGCCTTCCTGGACCACCCTATTTAAAAGAGCCCCTCCTCACTCCCCTCTGCCGTTCCTTTCTCCTGCTGCACCTCTTCTCCATAGAACACACTACCTCTAATCCTTGTTTTGTTTTTCTGAGACAGAGTCTTGCTCTGTTGCCCAGGCTGGAGTGTAGTGGTGTGGTCTCAGCTCACTGCAATCTCTGCCTCCCCGGTTCAAGTGATTCTCCTGCCTCAGCCTCCCGAATAGCTGCGAACACAGGCGCCTGCCACCATGCCCAGCTAATTTTTGTATTTTTAGTAGAGACAGGGTTTCACCATGTTGGCCAGGCTGGTCTCAAACTCCTCAACTTGTGATCTGCCTGCCTAAACCTCCTGAAGTGCTACGATTACAGGCATGAGCCGCTGTGCCTGACCTAATACGTTTTTTTTTTTTTTTGAGACAGTGTCTTACTCTGTCACCCAGGCTGGAGTGCAGTGGTGACATCTTGGCTCATTGCAACCTCCACCTCCCTGGTCCAAGTGAGTAGCTGGGATTACTGGCATGTGCCACCATGCCTGGCTAAGTTTTGTACTTTTGGTAGGGTCAGGATTTCACCATGTTGGCCAGGCTGGCCTCAAACTCCTGATCTCAAGTGATCAGGCCACCTCAGCCTCTCAAAGTACCAGGAATACAGGTGTGAGCCACTATGCCTGGCCTCTAATACGTTTTAGATGGTTACTTGTTTATTTATTTATTTACTTTTAAGACAGGGTCTCGCTGTGTCACCCAAGCTGGAATGCAGTGGCACAATCATGGCTCACTGCAGCCTTGACTTCCTAGGCTCCCGCAGTGCTCCCACCTCAGCCTCCCAAGTAGCTGGGATTATAGGTACGTACCACCACGTCCAGCTTGTCTACAAAAGATAAAGTATTTTTTGTAGAGATGGAGTGTTGCTATGTTGTCTAGGCTGGTCTTGAACTCCTGGCCTCAAATGATGTTCCTGCCTAGCCTCCGAAAGCATGGGGATTACAGCTATGTGTTTATTAATTGTCTATCTTCTCCCACCAAAATGCCAGCTCCCTAAGGGCAGAGACTTTTGTCTGTTTTGCTCACTGCTCTATCCCCAGCTTCTAGAATGAGGCCTGGCACACAGTAGGCTCTCTAAATGTTTGTTGAAGGTGTTTATTGAGCACTTGTTACCCGCAAGGCATAGTTACAAAACTGCACGTGCATCATGGCTCCCTCCTTTCATCTTCACAAGCGTGTCTTGAAGCCGGTGCTGCCATCCCCATTTTACAGATGAGCAAACCGAGGTGCTCAGAGGTTAAGTGACTGACTTGCCAGGAAGTGTCAAAGTCAGGACTCAAATCCAGGCAGGGAGGTCACGGAGCCTGTGCCAGAAACTCCTGGGCCAAGTACCCTCTTGGCTCTGCTCCCAAAAGGCTCTTGAAAGGTTTTCCCACCTGCCTGAATTCTGGATGCTGTCAACGGCTCAACCTCAGAGGACATCTTGTCCCCAGCTCCTGCCCAGCTCTCCTGACCCTGCCAAATGCTGTTCCCTGGCCTTAATGCCACTCGAGCCCCTCGGCCAGCATCCAGTTTTGCTGACACAGGTGATTTCCACAAGGAGTTCTGGGGACAGTCTGGAGCTCCGAGTCATCTCTGCACATAAATATGTTATTAGGCACTGATGTGGGGGACAACTGCCAGTTAATCCCAGCCCCCCACCCCTTGCCAGTCTCTGCCTGCAAGGACAGTAAATGGCTCCGAGAAGAAACTAAAAATAAGCTGCAAGTTGATGGGAGAGGAATTACCCAGAAATGTCAGGCTGTGCGACTGTCACTGTCGAAGTGGGGCCAAGAGGAAGATGAGGGGCTTGGAGATGAGGAGTGAGGCAGGAACCAGGCCTGGGGCCCCGCACCATCCAAGCCTGCCCCCTTTCTTTCACTCCAATATCTGGCCCATGACCAAATCCACTGGCTCTGTCTTCCTGAAATTTCCAAAATCTATCCACGTCCTCATCGCCTCCATGGTCGCCACCTGATCCTGTCACCACTGTTTCCTCCTTGGTGACCTGTTTTTTGCTTTTGCCCCCAAGATCCTGTCCCTTCTCTGCTCGGAACTCTCCTAGGCCCCCATCTCACGCAGAGAAAAATCCCGAGTCCTCACTTATGAGGACCCACGAGGCCCTCATATCACAACCACACATGCACACTTGCACACACCCACTCGCACACTCACGCCCACCTGTGTGGCCCACAGCTGCAGCACCAGGGCCCGTGCCTGCATCTCTTCGGACACACCCATCTCCTCCAGGTGCAGCAGGTAACTCTCCAGCCATTTGCTCCGGTGGGCCCTCGTGGCCAGCCTGGCTGGGGACAGCAGCTTCCACAGGCGACTTTTGACACTGGACATGTGGTCCTTGTCTCCTGCAGGGGCAGAGCACAGAGTAGGGGTTACAGATTTAACATCACACCCAGGGCTGGCCAGGCATGACCTCCTATGAGGCCAAGGGTCTTCTGAATGTCACTCCTTGAGGGTGGGGAATTCCTGTGGGAAAGAAGCCGCAGGGAGAGTTTCAATACCAACTTGATTTTTTTTTTTTTTTTTTTTGAGACGAAGTTTCGCTCTTGTTACCCAGGCTGGAGTGCAATGGCGTGATCTCGGCTCACCGCAACCTCCGCCTCCTGGGTTCAGGCAATTCTCCTGCCTCAGCCTCCTGAGTCGCTGGGATTACAGGTACGCACCACCATGCCCAGCTAATTTTTTGTATTTTTAGTAGAGACGGGGTTTCACCATGTTGACCAGGATGGTCTTGATATCTTGACCTCGTGATCCACCCGCCTCGGCCTCCCACAGTGCTGGGATTACAGGCTTGAGCCACCGTGCCCGGCCCCAACTTGCTTATTATCTGTCTTACTCCCAGTAGAAGGCAGCAAGGGGTCTTGTCTCCTGCAGGTGAAAGCCCTATTTCAATCACCTCTATGTCCCCAGCACCCGGCCTGTAGCAGGTGTTCAATAAATAAATATGCATTGTATTAGTCTGTTTTCATGCTGCTAATAAAGACATACCTGAGACTGGGTAATTTATTTATTTATTTATTTATTTTAAAAAGTGGTTTAATGGACTCAGAGTTCCAGGTGGCTGGGGAGGTCTTGTAATCATGGTGGAAGGTGAAAGGCACATCTTACATGGCGGCAGACAAGAGAAAATGAGAGCCAAGCAGAGGGGAGACCACTTATAAAATCATCAGATCTCATGAGACTTATTCACTACCAGGAGAACAGTATGGGGGAACCACCTCTATGACTAAATTATCTCCTGCCGGGTTGTTCTCATTATATGTGAGAATTATGGGAGCTACAATGCAACATGAGATCTAGCTGGGGACACAACCAAACCATATCATACATTAGTAAATGGCATTTCTTTCCAGGACAGAAGAAGGAACACTAAACACTGAGCAGCATTCTCCCTCCCCAGGGTCCAACTCCAGAGCAATGCCAGCCCATGTGTGTGAGGAGGAGGCCACTGTGAGCAGGCTCAACACAGCAGCAATCACAGAAAGACAGCAGCAATCAATCACAGAAAGACAGCAGCAATCACAGAAAGACAGCAGCAATCACAGAAAGACAGCAGCAATCCAGAAAGACAGCAGCAACAACCTAACTGACCCTCCAGAGAGGGCAGATGGGGCTGGAGTCTCAAACTCAACTCACTCCAGTGAAAACAAATCAAGTAAGAGAGAGGGGGGGCCAGAAAGGGGCCATGGTAGTTAGCCCACCGACCAGCCCCCGGCAGGAGAGAGAAACTCACCCCAGCATGGCCAGAAGACCTGTGCTTTCAAAGAAAGCTAACAATCCAGACAATCATGTATAACCTTCTGATGTTTTTTAAGGTTAACATCCAAGTAAAAAGTTTTTAATCACTGTGCAGACCACAAAAGAATCTCTGAAGGTCAACTTTGGCCCACAGATCACTAGCATGCAATCGCCATCAAACAGACAATGGTGTGTGTATATTCTGGAAAAACCATACAGCAGTGAAAGTGAATTAGCTCATTTTACCTACAGACACAGAGACTTCCCAAGGGCAGACTGGCAAGGGGATAAAGCCAGGCACTGAAGAATGATACTATTTAGATATTGTTTTCATTTCTTTTTAAAAAAATATTTTTGTGAACGATACATGAGACAGTATATATTAAGACTCCAAGGTAATGCTATTTATATGCATAAATATAAAGTTTAAAATAAAAATATAAAATATAGAATTTGGTTTTCTCCAAAGTCACCCCTTGGAAAAGTGAGTCACCTTGGATTGCTCCAAAGTTTCAAAGTACTGGAAACTCCCTCACTGACTCTTTTGAACCATAAGCCGTGTTTCAGGAAGACTCGCCCCACCAGTGATTCTAAACCTGGCTGCACATCACAGGGCGTTTGAAAGGGTGGGAAATGTAGGCTATGGTTTTTTTTTTTAAGTATCTTGGCTTCATTTTCAAACAATATGCTGAATATGTTTAACTTTTAGACTTCAACTTAAGCTCGTTGTTTTACATTAAAATGAATGTCACCATTTCGGGTGACATTTCAATGTAAAGCAATGAGCTTAAGTGTTCAACTGAAATACATTATCTTCCTACGTTTCTCAACTTTTCAGGCTCTCTGAAGAATTACCTGGGAGCTCTTAAATCTCTGGATGCCCAGGTGCTAACCGTGGGCAGACTGATCATGTCAGAATCATGTGGGTGGAAACTGAGCATCCAGAGATTTAAACAGGTGCCTGCAGGGCACAGGCAGTGTTGAAACCACCTCAGTTGATGCAAACTCTGGATACTTCTAAGCATGATCTGATGCGATGGCTAGAAAAAAAGAGGCAGGGAAATTTAGCACAGCTTTAGAAATAACTGGCATTCTTTGAGGTCTGACCACACAGCTGCAATCTTGAGTATCGCCGTAAACACAGTGTTTAAGGATGACTTTAAAAAGCAAGGCAGGACCATTCTCCACTTTTCCCCGGTGCCTAGAGCAGTTCTGAGTACATGGGAGGTACTCAGTATTTGCAGAATAAATGAACAATGAAGCAAAAAAAGGTAATGCAGTATGAAAATACGGCTGACAGAATGTGAGAAAATATTTGCAAATAATATATCTGATAAGGGTCTAGCACCCAAAATATGTAAAAGAACTCGTACAACTCAACAGCAATTAAAAAAAAAAACAACCTGATTCAAAAATGGGCAAAGGACTTGAACAGATACTTCTCCAAAGAAATACGAACGGCTGATCAACACATGAAAAGATGCTCAAAACCATTAGTCATTAGAAAAATGTACATCAAAGCCACAGTGCGATACCACTCACAACCATGAGGATGGCTGCTGGTTAAAAAACAGAAAATAAGTGATGCTGAGCACCTGGAGAAACTGGACCCCTCATGCACTGCTGGCGGGAATGTCAAATACTGCAGTTGCTGTGAAAAAGAGTTTAGCAGTTCCTCAGAAAGTGAAAGAAAGAATTGCCATATGATCCAGGAATTCCGACTCTAGGTATGCACCCCAAAGAACTGAAACCAGAGACTCAAACAGATGCTCGAGCAACAGTTCACAGCAGCGTTATTCACAGTTGCCAAAAGGTGGAAACAACCCACGTGTTCTTTGATAGGTGAATGGATAAACAGAATGCAATATATACATGCAACGTATTATTATTCAGCCTTAAAAAGGAATGAAATTCTGACACATATGCCAGGCTTGGTGGCTCACGCCTGTAAGCCTAGCACTTTGGGAGGCCAAGGTGGGCAGATTTCCTGAGCTCAGGTGTTAGAGACCAGCCTGGGCAACATGGCGAAACCCTGTCTCTACTAAAATACAAAAAAAAAAAAAAAAAAAAAGCTGGGCATGGTGGCGCATACCTGTAATCCCAGCTTCTCAGGAGGGTGAGGCAGGAGAATTTCTTGAACCAAGGATGTGGAGGTTGCAATGAGCCGAGATCACACCACTGCACAACCTGGGTGACAGAGCAAGACTCTGTCTCCCCCCGCCCAAAAAAAAAAGAAAAGAAAGGAAAACAAAGAAATTCTGACAAATACTACAACATGAACCTTGAAAATATTATGCTAAGTGAAATAAGCAGACACAAAAGGACAAATATTGTATGATATCCCTTATATGAGATTCCTAGAGCAAGAAATTCAGAGACAGAAGAGAAGATACGATGGGCTGAGAGGAGAGACAGGTGGGGAATTATGGTTCAATGGGCACAAAGCTTTTGTTTAGGATCATGAAAAGTTTCTGGAAACAGATAATGGCATGGTTATGCAACTTTGTGAATGTATTTACTGCCACTGAATTGTACAATTAAAATGGTTAAAATAGTATATTTTATGTTATATATTATTTTACCACAAATTTTTTTTTTTTTTTTTTTTGAGACGGAGTTTCGCTCTTGTTACCCAGGCTGGAGTGCAATGGCACGATCTCGGCTCACCGCAACCTCCGCCTCCTGGGTTCAGGCAATTCTCCTGCCTCAGCCTCCTGAGTAGCTGGGATTACAGGCACGTGCCACCATGCCCAGCTAATTTTTTGTATTTTTAGTAGAGACGGGGTTTCACCATGTTGACCAGGATGGTCTCGATCTCTTGACCTCGTGATCCACCCGCCTCGGCCTCCCAAAGTGCTGGGATTACAGGCTTGAGCCACCGCGCCCGGCAGCACAATTTTTTAAAAAGGTCAAATGAACGTCATTTGGCAAATGAGTCAAAGATAGTGTTGTATAATAAAGAATTTGAATTCTGGCTGGGTGCGGTGGCTCACCTGTAATCCCAGCATTTTGGGAGGCCAAGGTGGGCAGATCGCCTGAGGTCAGGAGTTCGAAACCAGCCTGGCCAACATGGTGAAACCCTGTCTCTATTAAAATACAAAATAGTAGCCTGGCGTGGTGGTGGACACCTGTAATCCCAGTTACTTGGGAGGCTGAGGCAGAAGAATCACTTGAACCCAGGAGGTGGAGGTTGCAGTGAGCTGAGATGGAGCCATTGCACCCCCACCCCAGCCTGGGTGACAGAGCGAGACTCCATCAAAACAAAACAAAAAGAATTTGAATTCCAAGGTTTCAGTTACCCATGGTCAACCACGGTCCAAAAATATTAAATGAAAAATTCCAGACACAAACAGTCATAAGTGTTAAATTACATGCTCTTCTGAGTAGTGTGTTGAAATCTTGTGTCATCCTGCTCTGTCCTGCCTGGCAAAAAACACAAGATAAAAATATAGCAGTGGGCCAGGTGCAGTGGTTCACTTCTGTAATCCCAGCACTTTGGGAGGCCAAGATGGGCAGATTACCTGAGGTCAGGGGTTTGAGACCAGCCTGGCCAACATGGTGAAATCCATCTCTACCAAAAATACAAAAATTAGCTGGGCATGGTGAT